AATAGGAGTTTTTTCTTCTGAGTGCAGTATTGGTCTCTAATTTTGGCTAGGACCCTTCACTATCATCTTAGGCAGTAGGAAAGGCAAACTTGTCTTTGTCTTCATCTATAAATAACATTTGCATAGTGCTTTTGAACCAGAGCTGGAGTCATTACATTGTGTTATGGGGTTCTGACATCTCCAAAATTTCTCTTTACATATATGTTCCCTATAAGACCTCCAACACGTGGCAAAGGTGGCTATAATGGAAGATGAAGTGAGGGCTAAGGAGGCACATGTGCTCAGAATCACCACTCTCTTCAGATAACTAAAGCTCTCTACCCATGAACTGAATGCATCCTGCCTTCCTTCCCCGAGAAACAGGAATGTTTGAATCCCCCTTGCAGTGAAAGCTGACCTTCCAAAAGGGGTAACAGCAGGGAAATAATATGGAGAACCTAGGAAATAAGAAGTGTGTGAACAATAAGGCATGGGTTTTAATCTTACTACAGTGGTTGGCCAGGTTTCTCTGTGCTGTTGGGGAAAGAGAACTTTTAGCTACTCTCCTGCCTCCTGTGGCAGTACCATATTTAACCCCTGGTGCTACTACCACTACTAGAAGGTAACATCGACAGGGCGCTCACTCTGCCATAATGAGATTGGTGCCAGGAGGCATCACCCCTACTTTCTAGCACCTTCCTAGTGCCTTGAGCCTAGGAAGCACTCAAACCTTTGATCAGGAGTATTGTGCTTCAGAGCAGAAACCAGAACTCTAGTAACTGGGATTAAATCCATTCACAGTAAGTTTGAAATTGGCATAGAACTTACACAGTTCCTTTAGTTGAATATGTCAATGCTCTCCTGCCAATGATCATTGTTTAACCTATAGTTAAAACTGGATTTGCTATTCATTGCCAACAGGGAGAATACCCATAGGGAATCATTGCATATCTCAGTAACAGCATGTTAGAATTTATGCAACTTGGCTTTGTGTTAGGTGGTTTTGGGGAAGGTTCAAAGAAGCAGGGCTTTACTCTGAATTGGGTGATGTCAGGAAAAGGGGGGTAATTCTATAATTATTTTATGAATCTTATTAGAGGAAAGGGAGAACAATGTGATGCTAGAGCTATCATTGTTAAAGAAGCAGCAGTTACTCAAATTAGCTGGAAAAGGGAGTTTGTTTATGGTTTACACAGTAAGGCTGTTTTTGTCTGTACTTATTCAAGATTATGGGGTAGTCTTGTTTTTTGTCTCCCTTCATCACAATCACAGAGTGACCTTGTGTGATACTGTCATTCTGCAAGATGGCTTATCCTTAATGGGAAAATACCACGGCATAGCTATGAATGACAACCAGCTCTTCACAACCCTGAGGCTTGCTTGTTAGTGTTAGAACAGTTTCCAGAGGCAGAGGTTTTCTTAGTCTCTCCCCTCTTTTGGTCAAGTGCAGACAAAGTCAGTCCACTGGACATTAATCCACAATATTCAGATTTGCATTAGGGCTGAGATCCTGCTGATGGGAGAATGCAGTCTGTGGTTCGATTAGAATTAATCCTTCCTTCTCTTCCTCTTGTGGGATGAGTTGTTGAATCATATAGCCATGTGACTGGATAGCCATGTGACAATGGATATCCAGTTGTTGAATGGATAGCCATGTGACAATGGCTATCCAGCACCATTTAGGATTCTGGACAGAATACATTGACTAATTGCAAAAAAAGAGCAATTACTAGAAACAAAAGAAACAAAATTCTTATTCACCTTTGTAATAAGTCTTGAAGCCAGGGGCCCATATTATAAAACCCTGGCAATGAAAACATGCCCTAGAATCCAACTGGGTCTGTTTAGAGAGCCAGTTGGTTTTTCCTTTCAACCTAGTTAGAGTTTACGTGTCCTGAAGGCACAGATGCAGCAGTGAGTGTTGCTGAACACAAACTCCCCCATGGCTACTAAGAGGAAATCAAGGGCTATATGATTGTCCTTGAAAACTGTGGCTAATGAATTCAAACTTAAATGGTCTGTTGAGCTTCTAAAGCAGATGTTGTGTTATTTATGATGTCTGCTAAGGTCAGAGACAAAAAATTGGGCTACCTTTTTGGTTGTATTATTTTGTTGTGGGAATTTCATTCATATGCAGAGAAAGTCAGTTATCCCTCCTGGGAGTTCTCCCAAGCCCTCTGAGTCTGTGCTTGCCTCATTTTGTTGGTTTCTGGGTAGGGAAACATGATCCATTGGTGCGGTGTTAATTTTAAATACCTAGAAGTCTCTAACAATTAGCTTCAAAACACAGGATAAGTTAGTGTGTGTGGTAGGAGGACATAAGTCTGATGTTCACATATGAACTAGCACTCTACTGGTGTACTACATTGGAAGTATGAGTATTATTTAGCACATCAGCAGCAAGCCAGTATTTTGTTCCTTAAGGTGAGCAGTTCTGTTGAATTAAGCAAAATAGGTTTCTGAAAAGTGGGCTTTTGTAAAGAGAATAAACTGAACAAAGAATATTGTAGCAAGGATGACCCCAATATTAGTTGCCATTTCTGAAGGGCTAGGTTTTTCTGATAAGGTTGCAGTAATCTTAGAGAAACATTTTGTTGAAGTATGGGTCAAGATTCAATTTTTAAAAGGCTGAAGTTTCGGATTAATTGTGTGAGGAAAGCTTAAGTACCAGAAGGGAACTATAGAAGGAAATCTACGTTATGAAGTGTTTAAAAGCACAGCTAGTAAGTTTTATTAATTAAGAGCAGTAGCTATGGTTTGAGAAAAACACATTCAAAAGGGTTTCTTAAGTGGCAGAAGAGCATAAAGGAGTCAAAAGTTATAGGATGGAGATAATGGAGATCGTATTGACAAATCATTTTGTTAGTAAACAAAGGTTGTCAAAGTACAGTAAGAGGCAAGATTAGTTGTAGGATAAAGGATACTGAAGAATCAGAAAATGGTCTTGTTCTGTTGTATGGGCATAAGCTGTCCAGTTCTTTGCACATTCTGGAAAATTCCCAAGAATCTTCAGTTTGAGGTCTTCCAATGGAATGGCTGTCAAGTAGCCAGGGAAAAATGATGCATGTATTTTAATTTGGGTAATGTGAATCCCAGGGTCAATGCCTTAGAGTTTTACTGCTGGGTCAGTTGTTGGCAGTGCCTTGTAAAGTCTTTTCTATTGAGGTTCATGGGAAATTTTTTTCTGATACATTTTCAGAAGACAGTCTCCAGATTCCAGAGGGTGCAGAGGCTGTAAAGGTGGGTGCTTTGAAAATATAGCCCCTACGTATTGTTGATAGGAGTTATTGTATGGGTCCCCTGCAACAATTAGTCAAATCCACTTGAATTAAGGTAGAATCTAGTATTGGAAGTAATTACCCAATACATGGGGCTGCCTATTATTAACTCAGAAGGAGATAACTGGTGGGTCCTTGAATGGATTGATGTTATTGCTATCAATGCAAATTGAAACTACTTTGAGCCTTGGAAGTTTGAGAGGTTTTGACAGTTCTGATAATTAGTTTTGGAATTTTCATTGTTTCTCTTAATTTTTCTTGAAATTTGTGCATAACGATAGTGGGGTTTCTAAGCAAATGAAATTCTAAGCTTTACAGAATTAGTTAGTAACAGTATCTGTGAAATAAGTGTCCTTGTTACTGGAGAGATACTTTGGGATTTCTAAAGTCAGGAATATAAAATGAGGCAATTTCTTACACCATTATAGCTATAGCTCTCCAGCAAGGAAAAGCCTCAATCTGCCACAAGAAGAGCTGTATTTGAATGTAGTCACCGTCCATGTAGAGGTGTTCAGTTCATGAACACCATGTTCTACTTTTATAGTTTTGCCAGGATCAAGTCCTTGGCAGATAGGACATATATTTTGGCAATACTGCTAAAATTACTCCACCAATGTTGGTTCAGTATCTTTGCCAATTTATCTCTGCTGTTCCGGGCAATACCATGATGCCTTTTTGCTGGACTCCACTTTACGCTGTCTCCCAAAGTAACAGCAAAGCCTCTCAAGACTCTAATTTGCCACAACTTTTATAGCAGTTTCTGAAATGGTCAGGAAATCTTTTGTTTCTGAGGCATTTCAAAGTCATTGATTAACCCCAGAACATGTGTATTCTCAGTATAAATTTTTATGCTTTATTAGTTGATCAGTCTGGGCCAGGGCCATTTCTGGACTTACATAGGACCTGGGATGGCAATGACTCAGCCAGCCACGTACTAGTTAAGAGACTTTGGGCAAGTCATTTTTCTGAGCATTAGCGTCTTCAAATAGGAAATTGTAGTCGTGCTTGTCTCACAGAACTGTAAGCATTTAATGAGTTACTGTACAATAATCGACGAATAATATTTACCACTAAAGACCTTCATATTAATTATTTCATTAGCACAACCATCTATGCGATTGACTTATTATTCCCATTTTATAGGGGCTCAGTAACACCGCTGGAAATGGCAACGTCAGGAATCAAACTCCCATCTTTCTGATACCAGCGCCCAGTTCTTATACTGATGCTTTCCCACTGTTTGGTTCAAGTGCCCACGTATCCTGTCACACAGTAGACACTCAACCATTAAACATTTATAATTTGCAAGTTTGATTATGATGTATTTGTCCTGGGCATTATTTCCTCTCGGTGCAGGGGCAAAAATCAGTTTTGGCCCGGCCCCGCCGAAGACTAAATTCTCTCCTCCCCCGAGAGGAGCCCAGTCCAGGTTTACTGTGAACTTACAGTAGTACTGTGAGCAAGATCCCCCTTGACGGGGCGAGGCGGTGGCGTAGTCTGTTGCGCCCCCTTGCCCGTCTTCCGCCAGTCCACGCGGGGCGTCCCTAGCAACACGCACGCTCACTTCCTGCCCCGCTCCGTGCGCGCGCCGCGGCCTCTGGAGCGAGGCGGCGGCGGTCTTTGCGCCTGCGCGCGGCCGCAACTGCCAATCGGTTCCTTTCCCCTCCCCCACCCCTACCTCCCTCCATCCCCTCCTCCTCAGCCTCTGACAGCGAGGCAGCAACATGGAGCTTGAGGACCTACCCAGGCTCGGCGAGCTCGAGGAGGAGGCGGAGGAGGCGGAGAACCTGGACCAGGATGAGGTGGTGGTGGTGATGGAAAAGGAGGAGGAGGGGCGGCGGAAGCTGGCCTCGGACCTCCACTATGAGAGCCGGCCTCTGGGGAGTCCGGACGGCGAGGACGACGAGGAGGCCAAGGCCTGGATGTGGGCGCGCCCTGCCGGGACTGTGGTTCCGCCGTCGCTGCCGACGTTCCACCGGTCGGAAGACCAGCGGCCCGTCCCAGAAAAGGTGAGCCGCGCCGAGCGGCGACGTGGCCCTCCGGGGGCGGGGCGGCCCTGCGCCCTCTGCCCGCTCTCTGTGCCGGAGGCCGCCGGCTCCCTGCCTGTCGCGGTGCCGGACACAGCATAGGCGCGCATTTCAAGGCGTGCAGAGGCCATCTCGTCTCCCGGGCCGCGACTCCTGCCCAGCCTCTGGCTGACTACGAGTCTCCCGTTCTTTCTGGCAAACACCTCTCCTGTACCCTCCCTCTGGGTGGATCCCGGGCCTTTTGAACTTACACCAGATGTTCAGAAGACCCAGTATTCCCTTTGCGTGTAGTTAAGAAACCGTTGTGGGAGGAGGTGCGGTTTATCGTGCCCTGAGGGGGGGAAGGGCGGTGTCGGGTGGAGAGAGTGGTTGCCCAGGGACTGTCTTGTAGGGGAGACAGTTGGGAGATAAGTGCCTGAAGGGCAGGACCGCCCTTGAGGGAGTAGTGTGGATTACGTACTAGGCTTGCTCAGTTACTCTCAGGAGGCTCCTCAAGGAGCGTCAGTTGTACTTCTCTGGACCTAGTTTGTACCATAAAGGGGTCCCTAGCCTGTAGGAGGGGCTTAGAAATGCAAGAGCCTTATGCTGCAGCTCCAAACAGTCTGGGAAACTAGAAAGACAATGGAGAAAAGCTGATTTTGTGCTTGGCTCCTGAAGATCATTTTCAAAATAACTGCATTTGAGTTATTGCTTTTAAAGGTGAATAACAAAGGTTATACAATTCAGATATCAAGACATCAGACATGTCTAAAAATTTTTTTATTAATGTATTACTGATATACACTCTTATGAAGGTTTCACATGAAAAAACAATGGTTACTACATTTACCTATATTATCAAGTCCTCACCCATATCCCAGTGCAGTCACTGTCCATTAGTGTAGTAAGATGCCACAGAGTCACTGTTTGCCTTCTCTGTGCTAAGCTGTTTTCCCCGTGATCCCCCACCCCATATGTACTAAACATAATACCCCTCAATCCTCTTCTCCCTCCCTCCCCACCTGCCCTACCACACTCCTCCTCTTTGGTAACCACTAGTTCCTTCTTGGAGTCTCTGAGTTGACTGCTATTTTGTTCCTTCAGTTTTGCTTCACTGTTATACTCCACAAATGAGGGAAATCATTTGGCACTTGTCTTTCTCTGCCTGGCTTATTTCACTGAGCATAATATCCTCCAGCTCCATCCATGTTGTTGCAAATGGTAGGATTTGTTTCTTATCGCTGAATAGT